GCACAACACGAGCCAAGTCCTTGTTCTTACTGAGCTGACCTGCAGTGGGAAATGGACCATAGATGTATGACATAAAGTTGTGTAGTTGTGAATGCAGTGTAAATACAGCGGTGTGAGAGCACGAGGGGCTTTCAAGTCCAGTGGCCCAGGGATCCTTTCCACGAGCCTGGAGGGAAGGAGGGAGAGAAGGAAGGGTGGATGAGGGAGCCATGTGAGGATGTGTGGAAGGGCATTCCTAGCAGGGGTGCAGCAAGGCAAAGGCAGCCTGCAGGGACCACAGGGCAAGCCCGGACTGAGCTCAGGACTGCTGGAGGAAGCCGGTCACCAGGGAATTTTATTTTTTTAAATCATTTTACTGGGGGCTTGTACAACTCATCACCATCCATACATCTATCCATTGTGTCAAGCACATTTGTACATTGTTGCCATCATCATTCTCAGAACATCTGCTTTCCACTTGAGCCCTTGTTATCAACTCAAAAACGGGAAACAAAATCTTTCTGATTTTCAGTTTCCTTGTTACGGTAATAACTTCTATTTCACAGCATTGGGGGCGGGGATCATCAAAAAAGTATCATATCAGCTTTGAACTGCATGGAACTGGGCTGTCCACTGAGGGAGCCCCAGTATCCCAGTGGGTTCCACATTCAGCAGCTGACCTGTTGGAACCACCGGCCGCTCCGTAGGAGAAAGACGAGGCTTTCTACTCCTAGAAAGAGCGTGTCTCAGAAACCCACAGGGGCAGTTAGCTCTGCCTCGCTCTCCAGGGTGGCGATGAGTCCCAGTGTACTTGCCCGCTGTGGGTTGGTTGGGTCTGGCTGTACACAGAGTAGTTGAAATTCGGTTGGACTGGCTGGGATACAGCCCCTTGGATGCTTTTATGGCCCCAACTTCCTGGGGTCTCACCTCCCCCCACCCTGTGGCTTCCTCACTCAGTCTGATTTTAGAGATAAAAGATTTCCTCCTTTTGTTTACAGTGCTTTGGGATTGGGGTGGGGGTGGGAACTTGGGTTTGGGATATCAGTTCAGGGCCCTCCCGCCTGGGCTCAGAAGTGGCCGTTTCCAGGTGGCCGCCCAATTGTGATGTGGGCTATCACCGGCAGGCGAGACCTGGAGCAGTCCAGCTTTCTGCCAGGACCTTGGTTTCAGGAATTGAGCCTGCCAGCAGAGCCCAGCAGCGCCCTCCAGCTGCCCAGGGGAAGGTGTGCTGGGGGCTCAGGAAGTGGCTTGTGAATTGCCGGGGTGTGCTTGAGAAAGCGGAGAAAACCAACGATTTTTCTAGGGCAGCTCCGGCCAGTGGAACTTTCTAGGCAGATGTAACCTGCACTCCCGAGACAGGCCACTGGCTTATGGCAGCCCTTACGCTGAGGAAGGCCATTCCCAGCTTTGTTCTCCCAATCTGAAAACATCTTTCTCTTAAAATGTGAGCTGGTGAAAGACCTCATTCTGTACACTTGCAGCATACACCAACATCAGCACTTTCTGCAGGCACCATTAGTGGCCTCGATTGCATCCTTATCTCATTTTAATGACAATGGAAATTGCCACACAGGGTTGTTGTTAGGGGCCACCTGCTCAGACCCATAGCGACCCCAAGGGCAACAGAAGGACACATGGCTCTGTGCGGTCCTCCCAGTGGTTCCCCAGCTTGAGCCCGCCCTGCCCAGTCAGTCCACCGCGTGGAGGACCTTCCCCCTTCTCCCTGCCCCCTCTCCTTGACCAAGCACAGCACGTTCAGTGACCCCGTGTTGCACAGTGCAGTTCTAGGCTGTTGTCCTGTGTCCAACCTCACATTGAGTGCCCACCCATTCCCCGCACCCTCCCCCCTGCCCTACTGCTCCTTAGATTGGATGTCCCCAACCCCAAATCTATGGAGTTTTTTTCCCCCCTTTCCAGTTCTGTCCACACCTTCTGGAAGGTCAGTATCTACGATAAACACCAACACTGGTCTCGCTCCCCGGGCGTCTCACCTGGGCCTCTCTCCCTGGTCTGGACTGAGGTCTCC